TTCCTGTTAAAAGGGAGTTTTTCCTCTCCACTGTCGCTACAGGCATGCTTAGTGTGAGGGATTGTATTTGAGTCAATGAGTTGATGCAATCAGCTGGTTTTCCTTAGATAGAAAATTTTGTATAAATTTGACTGTATGATCTGGTTGAACTGTAAAGTGCCTTGAGATGACTTGTGTTGTGAATTTGGCGCTATATAAATAAACTGAATTGAAATTGAAATGTGTGGGAACACTCAAATTTCAATTTTGATTAAATTAAGAGTGAGGGCAGAACCACCACACCTAAAACCCTCTCAGGTCATCGCTCACCACTGTTGAGAGGCACCTCTATCCTTTATCCTTCTTCTCTGTTTCTTACATCCTTAATGGATGAAATTCTGTATTTATAAGATGAAAAGTAAGCATAGCAAAATAATGCTGTTCTTCATTTAAGCCCAAATATATTCCTACCCTTAGTCGATTTATACTTCAAATGATAATTATACCAACATATTTTATCATAACTGGCATTATAACTGGGGCAGCTTAGCCAGAGGATAAACTTGAATATTACAGTGGAACTGTGGAAAAAAAGTTAAAAGGCCCCTATGTGAGGCAAAATCTACTTATTTTGAGCTTCTAACTATGTTATAATGCTATTCACTTCTTCATCCATGTCTGAGTAATTGTTGTTAATTTCCTCTCTGAGCAGCAGTCCTTCCTCATCCTTGAAAAAGAAGTGGTCATGACAGGTCTACATAGAGGTGTCATGTCAATATTTAATACCATTTCTACAGCCGCTCTAGGACGACATCATGAAGTGAAGCATTTCCAACAGAGGGAGAGTAGTGAAAGTATTCATCTGTCTTCCAGTTTGAAAGAAAACTATTTATATTTGATTACAAACAAATGCCCTTTAGTGCCAAATAATCTAACCATACATATGTCTACAGTTGACTTTGGAAGGCTTAAAAAAGCAGGACAGAGAACTCTTAAGAATGTGGATGATGGCAAAGAGGCCTTCCAACATAAAAGAACTGAAGCTTTCCATCAAAATCCTAAAGGAGACATAGAAAAATGGGCTCAACAATTATAAATAATAAATAAAGGTGCTATAATTCACAATTGAGAATCATACCGATACTTTTCAAAAAAACGATTTTCCAAGATAAGCAATAGCACAGCATAATGTATTTTGAAGTGTATAGTGCTGTTGGTTTTTATTAGTATTGCCTCTTTCCTACCAACACAAACCTCCTGGATGGAGCATTTATTTTTTATCTAACTACTGTTTGCTAGCGGTGCCATTTAGGAATAAAACCAGCTAACAAATAAATTATTCAACATTGAAATAAAATTTTAATTTTGTCTATATACAAAATATATCCAAAAGAAAAAAGGTTATTTGAATATTTTCTAACATCGGCACTGATGTTTATATCCATGAGATGATAGATAATATCTACTAATTGAGCTAGAGTAAAAATGAGTATATTAAAACTTGCCGTGTGTTTGTCTTGTTGTGTTTTCCTTCCTGATCATCATCCAGACGACCAGAGTAAAGATCAGAATGAAGCTGCTGAAGACAATTGGAGCCCAGTCTATCAAACGACATAAAACATAGTCATCTAATGAGAAAAGCATTTTAGATAAATAACTTCTTCATAGTTAGTTGAAGCTTACAATATCTTTGATGATCAGAACTTTCTTTCTTGTTGAACCAACAGAATGTCGTCACATTAACATGTAGAGTCTTGTTTCCTGCAAGGTTGGCTGCTACACATCTATAAGATGAGTCTCTGTCCTGTCTGTAGACAGTGATGGGTAAATAGACAGCAGAACTGCTCTGGTTCAGTATCTCCTCGTCTTTGTACCACAGCAGAGACGTCAGATTGTCCACAGAACAGATCAACCAGCAGCTCTCAGAGCTCACAGTCAGAGTTTCTACTGCAGGAGTCGGAGGAGGATCTGGAGGATAAACACATTGGAGATCAGTAATCTTATTACAAATAAAGATTTTTATTTACACACCTTAAACAGAGCTCAAAAGATATGCCAGCAGTTCTTCGCCAGTTATCTGAAAAATCTTCTCATCTTCACTGCTTGTTTTTCCACATTTTAGTGCAAAATAATTTATTTAATGCCAACCCCAATTAGGGTGGGAATTCCATCAATCCATTTTTCGTTACTCTCATCCCAAGTGGGATCACGGGGGGTGCTAGTTCCTATCTCCAGCTGTCTATGGGTGAGAGGCGGAGTACACCCTGGACAGGTCACCAGTCCATCACAGGGCAACACAGAGACAAACAGGACACGCACACTATTCACTCACACCTAAGGAGGATTTAGAGAAGCCAATCAAACTAACAGTCATGCTTTTGGACTGTGGGAGGAAGCCGGAGTACCCGGAGAGAACCCACGCATGCTCAGGGAGAACATGCAAACTCCATGCAGAAAGACCCAGAATCAAACCCAGAACCTTCTTGTTACAGGGCAGGAGTCCTCAGGGTGGGAAATATGTAATGTAATTAAATCATATACGGACCATCATATAATGTTCTGTGAACACACACCCAGCTAGCTGAGTGTTAGACAACAAATTAAAATCGCCACTTGGATGAATCCTGTCCTTAAGTGACTGACTGCCCACCCGTTTTCAACCATAGAAATAGAAAAAATATTCTTGCTTTGAACAATTAAGGTTTGTGTTTCAATGCAGGATCTGTCATTTCCTGAATGTCATAAAGACGTTTTAAAACAAATGCAGATCATTTGTATAATTTTTGTAACATACCGACTGTGCAAAGACACATGTATATAATGTCTGCTTTGCACATCTAATTTTGTCCAGTGTCCAGTGCAGAATGAAATGCCAGATGATGCATTATTTTCCAACGTCTGCCACACATCTATATATATAATCTATATCTATAATGTCTGCAGGACTGTTACACACATACAAACAATACATAAAGTAAAGTTAGCACCGAACATTTAATCAAATAAAAACCTACAATTTCATAGAACTAGCTTGAATAACTTAAACAAAAGCAAAATAATAAAAAAAAATCTATCAAAATGAAAAAAAATGAAAGTCAGATAACTTTGCTTTTACGGAATGTTGAAAAAAAAAAAACTCATGAAAGAGGCCTGGACATTAATGATGGTATACTTGAAGAAGTTCAGTTTAGGCCAATGGACAGGAAGATTTCTAGAAGATGTTTCACCGAGTGGTGGGGAGCACCACTTGCTTGACCATGACCTGGATGACAGAGAATCTTCACAGATAAATACTGATGGTACCTCTAGAAAATACTGAAAAAAATGTGACCAATAGCAAATCTTCACTTAAGGTGTTTCCACCAATTAGCATCAAATGTCTAGAATCTTTTGACCCCGTAGCTCCTTTATTTTTGTAGCTTGTACACAAACAAATTGTAAACCCAAATGCCATTGGACACTAAAATGATATTATAAATCCCACATGCTTGTGATGTATCTGATTTGGAAGCTAAGAGATTCTACTTTCTTGAGATATGAGTACAAACTCAGTATGTTTTACACAAGCTATTTATCTTTAAACATGTCTAAAATTATCCCCTTTTCTCTCGCAAAGAAATGCAATTCTTAATATTCAATATATTAGGTATAATTCATAGTTGACCACTCCAACTCTCTAAACTTGTTGTTCATGTTATAGACAAGAAATGAGTCAAATTTCAGATCGCTAGTCATAAGCACTGTGACACCTTTCGTATCCAAAAGGTCAATAAGGCAAAACTGATTCAAATTAGAACCAAAAGTGGACCTACACTTACTCGAGTTAGACAAGATGCCTTTTAGTGCATTATTTATAAAGGGCTCAAAAACATAAATTTAAAAAAAAAAAAAAAAAAAAAAAAAAAAAGGACGAATAACAGCCATCTCTAATATGTAAAAAACTTAAATTCCATCCAGCTAGAAAAATATGGTTGGATGATGCATGGATGTTTCCCTTTCAGCTACATCAGGGATTACCCTCCTTTAAAAGCAGCAGAATCAAATTAGAAATTTGTCCCACATATTGTTGACAGCCAAAGTCTATGTATTGAACGTTATATTTCAAAAATCATTTACACACTTCATTTACTCTATTATTTCTGCTTTAATTCTTCTAGGTTTCCTATAGACAAAAGGATATGTTAAATTTAATCATATCATGTAATTTTCTTGTAAACTTTCTGGTTATCTTGGAGATATATATTTTTTTGCATTTTGCATTTCTGTGTTATGGTTCTCCCATTTTGGGACTTAGTTTTTAATTTTCACTATCTAAGTACTTCTGTTTTGTTGATCTTTGGTTAATTTTCAATTTTGTGTTATATTTAAACCCATTTTTAGGTACTCTCTATTGCCCCCTTGTGCCTGTCTCCTTTCCCCCTCCAAGGTCCCTGCTGCAGAGACGCCATCATCACAGCTGTCCTCCAGAGGTCCTCCTTCTTTAAGATACTTCTGTTAGTCTATAAATCTCTGTATGGCTTAGCACCTAAATACATCACAGACTTGCTATCAGTGTATCAACCCTCCAGACCACTCAGGTCTTCTGGCTCCAGCCTGCTCTGCATACCTAGAACCAGAACTAAACATGGAGAAGCAGCATTTAGTTCCTATGCTCCACTTATCTGGAACAAACTTCCAGAAAACTGTAAAAGTGCATAAAGCCTGAGTTCCTTTAAATCAAGACTAAAAACACATTTGTTTAGGATTGCCTTTGACTGTTGTAGTTAAACAGTTCAACTGAAACATCATTAGTTCAGCTTTTTTATTTTCTTTAGTCCAACTGTTTTTTAATATTCTTTTTTGTTTCTACATTTTATTTGATTTGATTTTTTTTCCTACTTGCTTTGATTCTGTTTTATTTTCCTATATTTTAATAATTTAAAGCACTTTGCATTGTCTTTGCTGAATTGTGCTATACAAATAAATTTGCGTTATCTTGCCTTCGTCGCCGTCCTCCAGAGACTGCTTCTTAGTTGCCCACCTCTGGTGGTTGTTTTGGACTCTGGTTTTAGTTTCTTGTGCTTGTTTCCTTTCTCCTTGGCTTCCTTCTATTTCCACTCACACCTGCTCCATATTTAGCTCATTAGCCCATCCTTTGTTCTATTCTCCTTATATACTCCACCTCTGCAGTGACTCAGTGCTGGTTCCTTGTTGTTTAGTTGCTGTTAGTTGCTTCCTCGTCCCTGGCCTCCCACTTGACTTTCCCTGATGGTTTCTGGTTTTTTGGTCCCTAGTATTTTGTATTTTTCAATGTTTTTCTCAGTTATTCTTTAAACCAACAACAACTAATCTCTGCCTAACTGGTCTCTGCATGTGTCCACTCATGTGCAACTGGTTGCTTATGCTGGTGAAGATTCTCAGTCATCCAAGTCATAGTCATTCCACAAAAGTAAAAAAAAACAATCCATTAGACTTGGTTTCCAAGTTTGAAGACCTTTTGCTTTCAAGAAATTCAAATTCCCTGACAATTTGAATTGAAAAAGCCTCTTGATTGGAGTAGCATTGAAACATCTAAATTGGGTATAAATCTGACTTAAAAGACAGTACATAAAGTAAGTTTATACCACATCTGCACTACATTTAGTGCATCCCTGGAGGCTGAAATTAGATGTGTGGTAAACATTGCAAAAAATATGTTATCTGGCCTTTCATTTTACACCTCCAAAAGACAAAAATTAGATGTGAAGCAGTGACCTAAACACATACATCATATGCATGTGCAGATTGAGAGTAAAGTGCTCTGATAAGGACACAAGGAAAAATCAGATCTCTAACATAAGATGGAGCTTTGCCATTTAAGGCTTTATATGTGAGAAGGAGGATTTTAAATTGTTTTCTAAATTTAACAGGAAGTCAATGAAGAGAAGCTAAAATTGGAGAAATATGATCTCTCTTGTAAATTTTTGGATCAGCTGAAGGCTTTTAACTACAACTGCTCTATTAATGGCTGCATCACAGAGAAAAGTCTGTTTTACTGCCTTCATCTGAGACCATGAAGACTCAGTGAAGTGATTGTACTTTTTAAGGAAATCTACCTGCAAGATTTCCTGGGGTTTTGCATCAGTGTGCTGAGCATTTCAAACAGGATTGCTTTCATAACATTTGCACTTACAAAGCAGGCTTCTCTACACACCTTACAGTGAAGAGTGGAGCCATACCAACCGTCCGTTGCAAAGCTGGGTCCTTAAGAGCTGGACAGGGCTTTACTGTGTTGGACTGCTAAGGCCGCTAATACATTAGCAATGCAGCTAACATTTATGTCCTCGTATGTTCTGATAAACTTTTTAATGGCTTTTATAAGATGGATAATCTCTGTGTTTCTCAAACAGTCTTTTCTTAACAGGATATTTGCAGTAATTCTGATTCTGTTGATTCTGATTGCTTATGTTACTTTTGTCAGTAGCAGCTCAGTTAGTTAACTACAGCAGACAGAGGCTGTAGCACCTCGGCCTAAATGTGTAGTGCAAGCGTACTTGTTGCTTTGATTATGGAAAGGTTGTTTACACTCTAGGGTGTCTAGCTGTCCCTTTAAAAGTTGGATTAACCGTTTAGAAAAAATGATCTGTGCTCTGTATTGAGATGATTAGAGGGAGATTTGTCTGTATTTCTGCAAGAATAAAAAAAGTTAATTATTATTGTTAATAACTTACACGATTGGCATTGAGTGGTTATCTGGTTGTCATGGTTTTGGGTGGTGTAGGCGGCGCAGACTTTGGGAGGGTGTGGAAAGTCAAAACAGCTTGTCCAGAGGAGGACTGAATGAATTCTCTGGTACACACTGCCTATCTAATCTGAGAGGAATTTCCCTTCACAAACCTCAAATACATGCTCTGGGGGGGCTTATTGTTAATATTTTCAAAATTTTACCTTTAAATGCTAAAAATAAAGTGAATTCTACAATCTGCTTTGATAATTAATGAGACGTTGTAACTCACCATAAACTATGAGATTGTGGGAAGTAGTGAAAACTCTTCCTCTTTTAGAGTCAATGGTATAAATTCCTGAGTCGTTCCTCTGCAGGTCCGTGATTGTAAAGAGTCCAGAGTTTCTGTTCCAGTGTAGTTTGTTCATGTAAATCTCCTCAACAAACCTAAGTTTTCTGTCTTTCACCAAAGCAATGTTCTTCATACTTTTTAAAAGAAATCCATACTCCAGCACAGGCTCAGGTAAAGAGAGGTTCCCTCCGACAATTCCAGTCAGATTCTTCTTTACTTCATGAGCTGCAGATAATGTGATCAACACTGTAAACACCAACAGATACAGATTAACACTTAACTTCAAATTGTTATGCCTTATCTCACTAGATAAGTCACTGGATACAAATCTAAAGAGGTTAAAGAGGTTTAAAACAGCTTAAACGAAAGTAAAACATGGTCATTCTGATTGGTTGGTTTTATCATTATTTCAAAACTAACAGTTGGCCTTTTATGTGTCTTTAAATCAGGAACATTCATAATAGGTTCTTACTATTGCATCTTTTTAGTTAGTACAGTTTAACTTAAGAGGCTGTGATAGGAAACTGTAGAAACATTTTGTGGGAGTTTCTAGCTGGATTTACAATAAGTTAAAAAAAAAATATCTGCCCCTTGGCTCAGTGAAAACCAAAGTATATATTTCTAAATTAAGGAAGGCCCCAGATGTTATCTGTGTCTGCGTAACATTTTCCTCAATTTGCATACATTTTACTCTGTGATATTTTCTGTGCAGTAAGAAGTAAATACATCAGTATCCTCCATCTTCTGTTCCGTATTGTAAGTGATGTTTCTACACATTCAGCCTTACATTATATTACTTGTGTGCACACTGTGTGTGATTTTAACAGGAAAAAACCTTCAGTAGAACCAGGGTCAGTGTGAGCGGAAATCTGCTGAGGCCGACTGGGGTTCAAGGAGACAGAAGCAGAGACACAAAAAGCAGCTGTAAAAGGCGGCCCCGTCCAGGAAACACACAGCCAGGCAGACGAGCTCTAAGCCAGCTCCCATGCCAGAGGATGAAGAGAGCACATCCAGCCAGTCACAGTCAGAGAAACAGGACCACACTGGAAAACAGGCCAAGCTCCAACATCTATAAAAGGTGTTGATTGCAGCAGCATAGATGGTATTTTTCTCTAGGATGGAGTCTCAATGAGAAACAGCAATAGAGAATCAGCAATAAGCAATCAGGAAATATCAAATATTTAGGAATTACTGTGTCATCTAAATTAGCTGAGTTACCAAACTCAACCACATCCCTCTTTTAAAAAAGATAGAAGAGGACCAAGAAAGGTGGAAATTGCTTCCGATCTCCCTTAACTCCACCCGCAAAAAACTACTGTAGTCAGTTCCTGTATTCTAAATTATACAGGACACTGACTAAACTGGATGATACAATATCTCTTCCTATTATGAAATGTGAGGAGGATTTATCAATCAGTTTTGAACAAAACATCTGGGCTCAGATATGTCTAAGAACTTTTAACATGACAAGGAAACCCCAATTTACAACTAATACAATACAAAATCCTCCACAGAGTGCACTATACAGGTCAAAGATTATTATCTTATTGCAGATGCTTACCCCTTCAGGGGTTTGCACTCTGCTATTGAGGAAAGGAGAGGGAGGGGGAGTGGGAATGTTCCCGGCCTGGATGTCTATTGTCACTTGTGTGGTGAGTGGTTTCAATGGTAATGTAGGTGAGGGATCACATCTCTGGTGGGGTGGTGGGATGTGGATGTTAGAAGGCTTCGGGTCTGGCTCCCTGTCCCTGTCCCTGTCCCTTGTTTTCTGTCAGGTTGGGGTCTGAACTGCTCCCCCTCCCAAGCACATCTCAAGTCTCCACCAAGTGCAGAGCCCATTACCCCTGTCCTGCTCTCCCTCCGCTGGCTGGCGCCTGGGCTCGCCGGTGCACTGGTGGAGCTTGGTGTTTGGGAGTGGATGCCTGGGCTGCTACTGGCTTATTCCTGGTGGCGGCTCCACAGGGCCTGGCCCACCGGGGCCCGGCTGTGGCTCCCGCCGGGGATGGGACACCCCTTAAAAGCAATTATTTACATGTGTTGAAAGGCTTAAGTTGAAATATAACATCATAACTTCTGGAGATATTTATAATGCTAATCTAGGTGAACTGGCAACTATAATGCATCTCTCTCTCTCTCTTGCACACGCATGTGTGAGCGTCTGCTGCATGTGTGAAGTTGAACTAGAACGAGTGTGAGGTTATCTAAAGGTTTGAACTTCACTTTTTATTTTTTTGTTTCATTTGTTTGTTTTTTTTTGTTTCATTTTGTTTCGCACATTCTGTTTTCGCTGCTGCTTCAATGGTGTATTTTCCAGCAGCACCAAGCTTTTAGCTCTGTGTAATGGCTGACAAGTTACAGTGCTGCAGGAGCCTTTTATGCAGACATGGTATTAAAACAGCAGTTGCTGTGAAGAAGTGTGGTTAACCCTGCTACAAAGACCATCCTATCTAATTTGCCACCTTTCATCAGCGATGATGTGTTACTGGTCAGGTCAAGTCAACAATGAAAATGAAAGATGTTTTTTTCTGAAATAGAAAATTGTTTGTTGACTCTGCTAAATGGTTAATGAGACAAAGGACATCTGATGGGTTAAGGGAGACTGAAGTATAAAGAATTTGAAAACAAAAAATCGGAGCTCAATTTTTTTTTAAAAGACCTGCCCTCTCCACTTAAAAAAAAAAATGCATGTGCAAGAGTATGCACAAGCCCATTTTTTCACATGCACCTAGGGCTGGGTAATATAGAAAAAAAGCTTATCGATAAAAAAAATGCATATTGATCGATATCGATAATTATTGAAAAGATTTGAAACCATATTTTATGTGCAGCTCTGCCTGGACTTTTTATAATATTGCTAAATGATTTAATTTTAATAAAGAACACAAACACAGACTTCCAATTAAATATTTATTTAACCAACTTTTTTAACCATAACAGAATTGTTTTAAACTTAAGAGACCTGAGTTATG